GTCTACAAACATATTGGGATTGAAGACATTTCAAAAGAAATGATGTCTTCAAAGCACTTTATTAATAATGAACGTTTCAAGCAAGTTTTATAGATTCTTCAACCAAATAGGAAATCTTAAACAGTAATGTATGTATAATCCCTACAGAAAGATGGCAGAATCCGTTCTATTTACCAAAACTCCGGGATTATAGAATTCATAATGAATTATATCAATAATCTGAACATGAAAATGAACATCCAGACTCCAGCTGACATGCTCTCATTTAGAAGTCATTTTTATTAGATATGCACATACATAGAATAAAATAGAATAGAATTTATTTTATACCAGAGACAAATTAACAATTTGTACAGTACAACCCAGATAAGACATGGACATCCAATGGATATCCACTAAGGACATCCAATTTATATCCAAGAAATATCTTATTGACGTCCGATGGATGTCCAAAGTGCACCAACCATAATTGCTATAGATATCTTATGGATATCATTGAGATTTCAAATCCTGTGATGGATATCTCATGGATGTCCATTTCAAATACGAGGGTATTTGCTACCAGAATTGAACATGTAGAGGAAATCCATAAGATGTGTTATCTGGGAAGTCATAACTACTTACCTAATGTGAGAATATTCCTATATGTGCCTAGAACTATAACTATAATACAAAGAAAAATTGAATTTAAAATCATTCAATTGTATTTTCGATTGTGCACCAAGGCAGCTTTTATTGAACGGGGTGGACCATTTGTTTTTTAAAACTGTAGAAAAGCTATCATGAAATAAATTGCAGATTCCATTATTACTTACATCTCTGGTCGAGCTAATGTTATAACTGAATCTAAAACTGAGTCTGGGCAAAGATTCTTTGATTCAAGTCTTCAATTTTATATGGTCCAGAGCAGATCAAGTGACTAATAACTGTTCAAACGAGGTTCAAATTGTGTTAGATTTGTTATATTTCTTTCTGCGGCTGCTGAGGACACCCATGCTGTACAGAAATTTTCATAGTTATCTGGCAAAGTGGACAGAATTTTGCTCAGTACCATTTCATTATCTATCTTTTGTTTTAGATTTTTCAAACAATATGCTAAGTTTTCAAGTTTACTGATGTATAATGAGATATCTGTTACTTTTTCATACTTGAAGGTGAAGATCTCTTGCAATAAATTGCATTTTTGTTGCTTTGTTGTTCAGTATCCTTTTGGAAAATGCTGCACAGTTTATTATACATTTCAGAGGAGTCTTTACAACTCATTATGTGCAACATGAGCTTTTCATCAATAGAAGTTATTATGAGCTTCTGGGTTCTGGCATCCTTTCTTACCCATTCATTATTTTCTTTATCTTTGGATTCTTTGGTTAGAGATTCAAACTTTTCGTTTCCATTTACGATTTCGTATGGGCCGTGAGCCTTAAAGAGAATGGTGATTTGGAAATACCACACTTGACATGATCCCAGGTCTTCTAGCTTGTCAATAGAGGCTATCTCTTCGGCAGAACTTGCATACGCCATTTCATTTTACTAGTTTTTACCTTGGTTTTTACGTTTTTACACAGTTATCTTTGCTAGTATTCATGTCACTGTCATTTTCCATCGCAACTGGTGTATTCACAGTTGGACTTGCTGAATTCTGCAATGCCAGGAAATATCCATCCTTCTGAGGAGGAACACCATTGGGTTCTATCATGGATGAAAATATGCACATCACATCCTTTTCCAAACCCCTTGGGCCACCGAAAATCACACGCCAAACTTGTATTGACTCCCGCATTACTCGCAACACTCACAACTCCTTCTTCTCTCGAATCTTTTCCGTTCATCATAGTTGCTTCAAGTTTTCTAGAAGGACCACACAGATAATCAAATGTTTTAGATTCAAACAGAAAATCATTCATTCAAAATTATGACTGATTGCCCAACATTGACAATAATGATCCAAATTTCAACGTTTTTTTATCATATAATATACAATATGTACATAAACATTGAAATTTATGTTCTACTTGTCCATTACAGATTTATAATACCTTGGCAACGGTTGCTATTAGCAGACCCATTACGCCCAAGTGTTTTTTTTTGTAGTTCATAAAATAACATTCCGATTCTTGAAAGAAAGTCACGGTCTCATCTACGGCAATAATTTCATTTTTAACTACCATTGATTGAATACTTCATAATCCTTGTCGTATATACACGAGTCTGAATTTATCCGGCAATAAATTAATCGAAGCCCTGTCTGCATTTTTTATCATATTCTTGGGAAAATTCGTATTCATTTCCATTATTTCTATAAGACTACACAAAGAAAGCAGCAATGAAAATCACTAAATTAAATGATGACAGCAATATTCAACAACGTTAAAATATCAACAAATGTAATGCCTACCATCAGAAGAAATTGGAAAGAAAATGCTAGGAGCAATGAACCGCTTTTCAAAATCGGCGAAAAATGAAATCTTGTATGCACCACGAGCGTTACTAGATCCTAACGCACTTGGTACATAAATAACTATAATGAGCCGTCACAGAAGGTTTTTAATCTCCTTAACTTTGCATATTACAAAATTCTACACATTTATAAAAACTATCTTTTTCAAGAAGAGTGTTCATATGTAAAGAAAAGGTGAAATTCTCGTTGTGCCTTGTATTATATGAAAGGGTAGACGATGCACCATCGAAAAACTGCTTATTTTTGAAAACAAAGTTTACATATTCAGAAAAAAGTATAGGCACCGGGCGAATTTAACAAATTCAAAGATTTAAATTTTCCTCTAAAAGATTCAATTGTTTTGAGATTTGCCAAAATTCTAATAATTCTTTTTTGAATTGTGAAGACTTCGTGACCGTGTGAACCAACCCAGAAAAGGATTCCGTATGACATAACCGAGTAAAATTTACCAAAGTAGACTGTTCTAAGAGTATCAGGATCAACAACCTTTTTCAGTTCTTTAAGTGCATAACAAATTCTACTGAGTCTACCACACAGTTGTTTCACATATGTTCTGACCAACCCATGTTTTCTTCAATGGTAATGCCAAGAGAGTATGTTTTGCTAACATATGATATTTGTGTCTCATAAATATTAATAAAGTGTGAAAACACTAAGTATTTCTGCCATGTCGGAAAATAATACAGTTCGTTTTGGTCAGGTGTGTCAGGAGCAGCTGCAACAAAGATAGCTTGTTTTACGGTAACCTGTCTCTTTCCTACTCGTGTTGTTTAATGGTGGATTGGTGTTCACGTTTTCTTTTATCTAATAATCAAATTACTTTAGATTTTTTTCTCTCATCTGAACAGACAAGAAAGTGAAGACATAAGTTCATCCTCTTTGGGTATGTGATATATCTATTCATTTGGCGTGTTTTGTTTTATCAAAAGGACTGAATTTGTTGGTGTGAACACTGAACTGATTGTTGAGATAAATATTGATTCCATATTGATAAACGATAGTGATTTATTGTGTCGCCATTGGATGCAAGAACGAGCAAGACAAAAACAAAATTGTCATTTCATGGGTAAGTTGAATATTGTTCAGATTTTTGGAAAATATAGTTCTTGAAATGATCATCTGTTAGGTATACAATGTTCCCAGTCTCAGAATATGTTCAAAAACTATACTTTTTTCATAAACATATTAAGTAATATTTGTTGCAGTTTTCCATTCAAAGGACCAGACATTCTCGAATTATGTGTTAAGGCAGTTCATAGAGAGAATTGGGCTCCATGTAAAACCAGCAAGCTTTGTGGAGAGCATTTCCTGCCATCCTGCCAACTGATCATTTAGGCATACCAGGTATATGGTGAAGATTGCCATGAAATTCAGATTATTCGAAAAATAGTTGATGAATATTTAAAGTGTAGGATGTATCACCATAGTAGAATGATAGAAATCTATGGAAATTATGCTCAAAATGGACCTTGAGTACTCAATACCATTCAAGAACCTTTTTCCAAATTTTTCCTATCGTTTTTCTGTTCCTTCTGATAGTGCTGAAACATTATGCTTCTCTCACCCTGTACAATATATGGTGACATTTGAATAAAAATATATATTTTCAATTTTGTATTAATTTGACTTCCTGATCCTGTAACAATAAAAATGAAATTTCATTTTGAAGTCAATAAAAAAATCAATAATAATTTTTTAATGATAATTATTGATTGCAACGTTATCCTTTTTCCTGAGGAAGTATTCCCAACAACATATAATCTCCAGAAGTTCAAAAAAATTCCAATACCTACCTCCTATCCCTATCCTCCCTAGGAACGCACGATGTTCTTTGAACATTATAGGGATTCCCTTTCGTGCGCTCCTAGCGATAAAAAAATAATAATAATAATGCGAGCGCTTCCCATTAGCCAACATAAAATAGAAAGAGATAGGTATCCGTAAACACAATATTTTTGCCTCACTCGTCGTTCACAAAGGATCCCTTCCAGTTGTTTATATTGAGTTCATTATGGACTGGACGCACACCTACCACCTACAACCAATATAACTTACGTGTCTCGTTGGTGGCATGCAGTTGCATAGTATTATGTATTATGTTCTTAATTCCCATTCCCTTCAAATTATTTTGTAGGTTAGCAGGTAGATTGATCTAATTTTCGGATTTATGGGATCTTGTCGAAGAGAGGAATTATGAGTTCGTATAAAAAGTATCTTATGTAACGCTCGTGCTTAATATACTCGTTACTAACATGCCATATATAACACTTGTTACATAATATACTATATCGTGATATCTACCAGCGGTGTAAATGAATGTGCGAAAAAAATTTGGGGGTAATGTGAAAATGTGAGGTTTTTCGAATGAAAAAAATCATCACACGACCCCTGTGGGGTTGCTAAAATGTTTTATTTTCTCAAATATGGAATAAGTGACAAAAATTGAATCAAGTAGGCGTCTGGATTATCTGAAATATCACTTCGTTTTTTTAATGTATGTTTTATCTGGCTAAAAAAGTCAAGTAACAGGTAATACTTTTAGGTGGCTCGTCCCTCCATAAGTAATGCAACCATCCTTCAGAGACCCAATCATAGGGCTGTCATGAGCATAGCTTGGTCTGCAGGTGGAGACAAATTAGTAAGTGTCGCAGCCTGTGATAAAACAATTTATGTTTGGGATGTTGAATTGGACAAAACATGTTCACTAAAACGTCCTGGAGGGTCTGGCAACATTCTGGTGAAATGGTCGCCCACTGGAGAAAAATTATTCAGTTGTACAAATGGTCTCGTCTTTAGGTAAATAAAAATTACCTATTATTCAGAGAGTTGTGAGTATAGTAATTAGGTATCATAATCGGTTGGTTCTGATTGAATGCGGAATTTTCAAATCACATGATTTATTTTCATAAACATAGGGCCAGTTGCATAATACATTTGACAGACGATTAACTATTTAATTTGTTTATATCCATGGCAACGTATTTCTGATACAGTAGATATTGTATAGAACTGGATATAATAGTGAACCTTGCGAATGCCCTTATTACCTTGTTTATTGGAGTAGCTGCCCAGAAACTTCACTTTGAGTTCATGATCTAGTAGGTTATTCTTAATAGAGTGCCTCGAACATCTCATTTTATGCTCTTTACAGAGTGTGGACACACTTGTCATCTTGTTAAACAGCTGAACAAAAAACATGAGACACAAATATGTGTGGAATGTCATTTTTTTGTAACCCTTCATTGAACGATAGCAGATATATTATTATTTGAAACCCTAACATAGGTCAATGCATGTATTTCCATGAAATGAATATTGAAATTTGAATGTCGTCTCGTCTTTGGGCAACTCAAATGAATGTAAAAGAAGATTACTCCATGTTATAGAAGTCAAACAGAGATTACCAAAATAACAATGCCATCAATTGAGGTGACTAGTTGGAAGAAGAAAATTGCACGCATATTGTACGGATTATAAATATATCTGGTAACTTCAATTTATTCATTCATTGATTTTGAAGTAATTGATGCAAACTGTTTTTCTGGGGAGATCATGTAAGATACCTATTTGTTACTTTTTGATGTGTGGTAGGTTTTGAAGCTGGAGCATATGGTTGCAAAGATTAAAATCCATACGAGTATATTTAGTAGATATAGCTTGAAAGAAACCTTCAATACCTATTCACAGGTCCCATCTTGAACTGACGACATTTACGATTTGTGAAAGCTCCTATTGCTGCCGCACATAACAGAACTCCAGCTGTAGCAGTGTCAATAAATATTCATAATCCAGGTTATCACCCATTGTTAGAATTGAAATACCTTGAACAGAATATCATCGAGCTTCGAAATAATACTATAATTCCAAAAATGATTTTGATAGTCCGAACAAAAATAATAACACAAATTAACGTTAAGAGATGCGTTATGGTATCTATAAATCAGGGGTTGAATTTTTGCAATACGTTACCGAACAAGATGTATTCGAAAACATTTTCGCGGAAACGCCTATTCAATTTTCAGAACTGACGTTTCAAATCTGAAAATGATGACAATTTGGAAATGTCAGTGGTGACAAGCGTGTCCACACTCTATAAAGGGCAAAAAATGAGATATTCGAGTCACTCTAATTCTTAATAATGTGTAGGTAATAAGTACTTCGGAAACCACATATTACATATTTAAAAGAACTTGATGCAACGAGATTGGAGAGTAGAATGTGGTTGTTTAAATCCAAATAATGAGTTGCCTGGGGTTTTATTACATTGCTTTCTGTACTTTAGATTCAGTTCTTGATTAATTTTCCAAACTTTCACCAAGTACCGGCAGAAGCGTAATAAGGGCTAACATTATTTATTGTTCACTAAACCGTGCCACCGAAACATGAGGTTAGGGTTGGTATAACTGCTAAATATACTTCTTATTTTCGTGTCATTTGGCCTTTTGCTATGATATCTTCTTCTCCGTCAATGTAAGAATTGGTCCGATTGGTCGTAAAGTTCCACATTGAGAGTAAAAAACCGTAAGACGTTTTGTATTTGTTCAAATATTCTACATCATTTTTTTCGTATATTTTCGATGAAACAGACCATAGCTTTCAGGAATATCCGGCAACATTCTGGGATTTTTGACTTTGACATTGATCTCATGTTTTGAAAGCGGTAGCGCCAACTGGTGAGAATGATAATGTTAGCCCTCCTTGGGGTGATAGATCATGAGCATCATCTATTTGCCATCACAAAGTCTATTCTCCTTAGGTGTAAATGTAATTTTCTATATCATCCTCTCAAGATCCAGATGATATGAATTTTCATTGAATATAGTTTAATTTTCCAAATCAAGTTAGTAGAGAAACTTGATGACCTTGTATTTGAAATGTGTTCCTTGAAATTTCAGAGTTTGGGACTGTAGGAATTGGGAATGTGAACGTTGGTCCGTCCTCAATGGCAGGATACAAGCGGCATGTTGGTCAAACTGTGGTAGTACATTATTATTTGCTAGCAACAATGAACCTATAATTTACGGAGTAATCATAAAGAACGACTTGGTCTTCACCTCTGATTCTGACAGTTCTTCCACCCAAGCAATGCCAATGTTTGATGTCAGCAAAGTCGACATAGATGGAGTGATCGTTGGTGGTCTAGTGCAATGTATGGAGAGTGATCCTAAAGGAAAGCGCCTGGCTGTATTGTTTCAGGACACGAATTGTGTGGCTATATTCAATATTGTTAGACAGCCTGGGTTGCAGCTAATTCCCAGGTGAGATTAAATTAATCTAGACAAAATTGAGCAATATTGGTGTTGATGAATGACCAAAGCAAACTGCTTTTGTGAAAGGTGAATAATATTTATAAACAAATTATCTCTTGCACTTTTTCCATCGTACTGATGAGGGCCGAAAGCCCGAAGCCCTTTTCTGCGGATAACTCTTTCTCTGGGCTATGTCAAATAACCTCTTTCTAGTTTGCTTAAAACAGTTCCCTCAATATCCCTACCATCTCAATATTTATAAAAGTAGTTTTTTAGTAGTGATTGTCAACAGTGGTTGTACTAGAAAAGTAATTTTCAGTTGAAATCCAACTACTTAATAGATCATTTGATCAAGATTATAATTTGTTTGAGGCACATGCGCTTGTTTTATAACCAAATTCTGATTGGATATTACAGAAGTGAAAAGTCATTAGCTAGTTTCAATTCCACAATCTTTGACTGGTCCATATTATATAGTTCACGATAACTGATTAAAATCATAAAATAGTTATTTTAAGTGCATTTCTACAAAACCAGATTTGCCAGTCAATAGACTGACATTGTAAAAATTATTGAAAAATGTATACAGTTATCAAAACTCTGAGAGTCTGTCAGACGTCAGTGGAACATTTAGAAGATTCCATGCATTCCACTAGAGATAGAGCTGGGGCTCAAGATGAAAGATGATTGTAAGGTTTTAGTAAAAACGAATTGAATAAAGTTCTCAATAACAACAATAACATGACAAGGCGTACAAATTATGAATTCCAATTTTGTGCCCTTCTCAAATACCTGGACACAGACAAAAAATTTGGGAAATTTGAATTTGCTAAAATACAAACTGCGAGAGTTATGCCACTTTATGAATCATAAACATAATCTTTATTTAGTTTGCTACTCACTTCAATGAACAGAACATTGCTAAAATTATGGAAATTACTGTTCATGAGAGCAAAGACATTTCAGTTTATTGCATGCACCCCACGTTTTTATTTTCAAGTCTTGCAAATTTTTGACAATTGGTTCAAAATACAGATCAATCGTCTCGAAATATGAAAAACTTTCTATTTTATTTTATTTATTTAATAAACGGATTCACCATTACAATAGTTAATTATTACAGATTGACAAGATGGCATAAGAACAATAATATAGCATTGATATTGATTGAAATTCCAAATTTGAACTATATGGTTTGGTTTGAAGGATACAAAACAAAATTCCTGTATTAACCAACCTTTAGAAATTAACACTAAAGTATAGATTAATTGTGGATCGAGCCAGGATCAACTATACAAATTTTATTTTTAAAATCAGTTAAGGAATGGACAAATGGATCAATGTTTAATATGTTGAAATTACGCAAAATACGTGATAATGGGCTGAAGAACCCATAATTAGTTCTATGAGTTTTTATAGTAAAAAGATCAGTGTTTCTAGTGAAATATGATGGAACATTGAAGTTTATCATATTGAGAAGATCGCAACAATCAATCACACCTGAGATAATCTTGAACATGGTGATACTATCGAGCCGAAAGCGTCTGATAGATAGGTTGGTTAAGTTGAGGGCATTGAGAGTATCTGTATAATTGAAATTGTTGTAAGTTCCCATTTTATAAGAAATGTGCTTGGCAAATCTCATTTGGACTTGTTCAATTAGTGTGATATCACAGTTATAATGTGGCGACCAGATTATGCAACCATAGTCTAATAAGGAACGTACAAGAGAGCAGTATAAAGTATTAACTGTGTTTATTTCTATATTTTATTGAACTTGTCATTTGGATAATTGTAGTGATGTGAGCGCAAATTTTTCCTCTAGAAATGTTCTCAATGAAGACGAAAACTCCTGCAAAGTAAACCTAATTTTTATCCGATTTTAGCGAGCTGTAAAATGTTTTGTTTTCTTCCTTGATTATGATCCAAACTCAATGGCTCAGAAGTAATTCCATTTAAACTCAGTTTTTATTGTGACATACAGCCTATTTTCATCATTATCCCATATATCTTACATTTTTAACAGAACCTCCAGAGCTTGAATTTTGCCTGACAGTTTGATGTAACCGACAGTGTAAAATTGTGTTGAGTATCATAATGGAAGACGATCTTTATTAATTTCATATACTTTTCACTATTTTCATCTTTTGTTTGATCTCAAAACCCTGTTACTTTGTAAACATAATGATTTAGAATTGCGAAATGCAAAACATGAATATCATATTGTTCCTTCTGACAATACAATACAAGTAGTCTTCATCAGGAAACATATCGTATATGCTCTTCGATAGCACTCTCAATTACTTGTGCTATAGGAGCGCTGACACCGTTCAATGTTCTCTGAGGAAGACAATCTGCTGATGGTCAATAAAAAATAATTGCTTTTTTTACAGTTCACTAGTTATGGGTTTGGCAGAAGAGAAACCAAGTGCTATAAGCTTTATCCAGAATTTTGAAGCTGGAACTTGCTTAACTGTAGGATGGTCTAGTGGAAGAATTCAATATTATCCAATTATTTATACTGATTTGGCTTGTAGCACAGAAGCAACACAATCAATTAATGTATCTTTGTACAATTCTTTCAGTTCACAAATTTTTTGAATTATTTATCATTTTCAAGTTGTTTTAATAAAAGTATTCTCAATATATAAACAGTAGGATTTTCCCCGCAAATCGATCCTAACCACAGAATTAAAAAACCTCGAAAGACATTCATATAAGAAATTCCTTTATGAAGTTGTTTCAATTTAAATACATTTGTTTTGTTCATATCTTAATGCTTGTGTAAAATACTATGGAATTCTGACAATTATTTCATTAAACGAAATACTTTGTACAATTCAGTGGAACTTCGAGTTAACTTCTTTGTACTCTAAGCAATCTCCACTGTTATATGGAATATGATGGAGTGAAATCAATCCATTTCACAGAGATAATTCTTTACATTAATAATTATATTCTGCTTCATTGCATGTTCTTGAATTCTTAAATTCAAATGCAAATATTGCAAAATAGTTAATATAATCATTTCCCAAATCGATCGATCTTTTTGATTGATTTCAAATTCAAATGATGTACTTGCGCATTACATTCTCATATGCTACTTGGCCGGATATGTATAGCGCAAAAAGAGGGGGTATTCGTCGGACCTATTCGGAAGATTAGTATTCGATAGCTTGTCAATCAAGTCGCTACTAAAATTCGCAATTTCATACATCCATTTTTGGTCCTTTTTTATCGTGGGTGACCTTTTTTGGCTTTTTATTAAGTCAAGATGATCCGGATTGGAGCGCATTGTAAAATTTACCAACCACGCCGGATCAGATCTACAGTATACATTACTGTGAAAGCTAAGTGGCTTAGTGAGTTTTGCGTTGGTTCTGCTCATTTCCATCAATTTAGAATCTTTATTGAAGAAATATCACTTCCAGAACTTTTATGATTTTGATGGATGAAAAATCTCCATTTTCCTTCACGAAGGAAAATCTATTTGAATTTTTGAAAATTAGTGGTGAAAAGCCTACAATAAATTTGCTTTACGTAGAACTACTTTCATAGACTGATATTCATAATTTTCCTTTTGAACTACTTTCTTTAAAACACTAAACACCACATTCTGATTAATATAACTTATATTAGGAATGATGAATATACAATTATTAAAACTAAATACAAAATATTCACTTAAAATAGCTTAATCACTTAATAAAGCTCAATCACTTAATAAATCATCGTCGATATTGATATCCTGAAAAAAAAAAAAAGAATTTAAACAATAATAGTAGGAGGATCCAAAACATGAATTGATATTTCACTCATATATTTCAAACAAATCATAATTATAGGGATATACAAAGTGTCAAGACAAATGAGACAGTCAGATACTTCATGAACCAATGAAAATTTTCGAAAAATTACATTTGTATATGATAATGGTATTATGAGGGCGTACCATTTGAAAAATTTAATGAGGAGCGTTTGAAATTCGATTATATTGAATTGTATCTCTGACCAACTTGTATATATTCAGGAAAAGGTGAAAGTTCAGTGCGAGAATGTGGCAGTGACGTTTATTGAACTGTTTAGCTTGACTCTGATTTCAGAAGTATCATATCAGGATGCTATTGTATTGTCAAGAATTCAACCTTAACGCCACGTCATTAATAGTAATGTAGAAACGAGTCCAATATTAACCAATCGAACGAAGGTCAACGTTAACCTGTGGTTTTAAATGATTTCTTCTTAGTTGGAATGAATTATTGATGCCCCCTTGCCTTACCACCCTGTAAAAAGCATTGAAACCAACGAAGGGAGAGAAAGGACAATTGAAAGGGATGCATATTGTGTAATTATGATAAGTATGGCAGTTTCCCAAGATCAGCCATCTCCTGCTCTTTGTCTGTCTCTTGTATGTTATTTTCATTCGTTAGTTCTCTGTATGGGGATCAACAAAACTATCAATTATGAAACCTCTCAAAACTCTTCAAAATAAAATTATCAAATGTATATACAGACTAAATTATTTGGAACCTATACAGAAGAAGAGAGTTATTAGATATAGATTCACTATATAAATTCAAATTATCATCATTCATTCATTCATTCAGTTAAGTATTGTCAAATGCATTTAAATTCGGTTATTCAAATTAATAGTAGTCACCATAACCATACAACTAGAAAAGCAAATCATTTTTCTGTCAAGAAAATCAAATCAGATATTGGTAAAAAATCTATTTATCACAATGGAATGATATAATACAATTCACTACTAAATAACTTGAAACTGATTAATAGGATTGAAAAATTTAAAAAGGAATTCAAGAAACATCTGTAATATTGACATCTTATCTCATTTTTATAGTTTTCTCGTACAACTACTATAGTTTTCCATTGGGTACCTAACAGCTGAGTCAATTGAGAATAATTTTCAGTTGGACTTCTTCATTTTGTCAAATATATTTATATATTCACCATGTTTCCTGCTATAAACAAATGTTGTTTCTTGGAAACAATGAAGTTGATTGATTGATTTATCTCAAAAAAACTTTGATTTGAAATTTCAACAACTTCAATTGGCGACCGCCGTCTTGTTGTCACGTGACCTTGGGCACATTCGTTGCGTCTTACCCTTATTAGATCTTTGGTTCAGGATATATTTGATTGTTTCATTGTTCTAGGGGAATACTGTATTACATAACTTACTGTTGTGTCTATGTTGTCATCAATATTGACACCTTCTAAATCTAGATCCAAATCATCATCGTCTTGTTCAAAGGACAGTTTTTTTAATTCTTCAACTGGTGGCCTGAAATCAAATATAAAGAATACTTGAGAACTCAACATTCACCGATTAGGACTGTGATCTTGAATGAAATTTCAGGCTATTTTAATATTCAGATTTAGACACTTTGAAGGATCTGAAGATGTTGGTCTGATTACAAAGTCGGATCCAACTTGTCATATTCGAAATTAACTAATTGACTGTATTTCTCATAAGACATGACTTACTATCTAGACTGCTAATTCCATTAGACAAAAACGAGAGTCGAACTGGATCTCATGGAGCATGCGCATTTAGAACCTGTCATATATTTTCTCACTTTTATTAATGTAACCAATTCATTGGTGATGTTGGTTCAGAATATTTTCAACACTAATAAGTTGATGTAATAAATGGCAGTTCAGGTCGCTCGTGCAGAAGTGTTTTGGATTACGGGTTGTTATGATATGACATATAGTGGTCTAGATAGTAGATTATGTGGATGCTTGAGGCATTTTGTGTTATTGTATTGCCAGCAAATACTTTCAAATTCAACGTCACTTGTCGAATGTAATGTCTCTTCTTTTATCAATGTGAATTATAGTTTGATAAGCGAAAGATCGAAGAAGTTGTTACAGTCACAGTTTTGAATATTATTTGGAATAACAGCACTATAAAAAAAGGCTATCCAAAGCAGCACTGACATGTTGGTCTCGGAAATCTAGCTAAACAATACAGTCTGTCCAAGATAAGGTCGCACAGCATGGGGATCTCGAAAACAGTAGGAGATACGAAGTCGGTTAAATGGTGAAAAAGTTGTGCATTCGGAGGCTCATACCAACAGCATTCGAAAATTTCCAAAATTGTTTTTAGTTTTTCAATTATATGGATAAAAGTGGATTTTTGGAATATCTATTTTAATTTTTTTTCTCCGTTATTATCAGATATACAGAAAAACTGAAAATACTTCTTCATAGCAATTTTTGATGACGTTTAACGTGGTGATACTGATTTTTTATGCGACGTATCGTATTCGTAGAACCATCATTAACTTTTGTTTTGTCCTCATAATTTTTTCACAGATTCTGAAAGCTTTTTTATTCGGAATTCAACCATGTATTATACAAGGTGATTTGAGTGTGTTTCGACCTATTTCTATCCATCATCAATGTTTTTTCGAAATTCCAAAGGAAAAATGCCATCCGTTACACTTATTTCTGATCATTTGATCATTTAGTGTCAAACATTGACGTATTAGTTATTCAATACTGAAAAGTGAATAAAAAATATTTCACTAAATTATTCAATGCAGCGCTTCAAATTGCTAATGAATTCTTACACGAATTACTTTATTGACTCAACTTCGACAATACCAACACAAACATTCATAACAAATGTTCAAAATGATTAACATTATTATCTAAACAAAGATATCCTCTTCTCACAGTTGCTTCTAAGGCATTACTAAGCATTTCTGGGTTTATACTATTGAATGCTTCGATGACACTGTCCCTTAGTTCTTCTTCATTATCAAGGTTATTTGCGTGAACAAATTTTTTTGATATATCCCCCAAGAAAAAAATCCAGCGGTGTCCAATCAGGCGAATGCGCTGGCCAAGGAACTGTAGAATGAGTACCAATCTATTTTTCGGGAAATTGTCTGGATAAAAACGCACGGACTTCTCTGGAATTATGTGCCGGAGCGCCATCTTGTTGAAACCAACAGTTCTCAACTTCCGCAATCGGTAAATTATCCAGAGCTTCTTCAAGATGATTCTCAAGCAAACTTCTATAACATTAGGAAGTCAATGTTTTATGGTGAATGAAAGGACCAATTATTCCTGTACCAAATATTGCAACCCACATATTAAAGCCGAAACTGTTGGTGTCTCGCTGTTTTGTGTAAATGTTCATTTTCTCGTGACCAATAATGTGTATTTTTTCTATTGAAGATACTATTATTAGTGACCATGCTTTCATTAGTCCAGATGATTTTTCGAGGGAAATCTTCATTATACATTTCCTGGTATACCACCCACAGAATGTCCTGTGCCTTTCGTTATCGCCTGGTCTTAGCGCTTGACATATTCTGAATTTGTATGGATGGAATTTCTGTTTCCGCAAAATAAAATGGGTTGTTGAACCAGTTGATAAGGTGTGTTGACTATTTTTCCTTCAAAATAGGTGGAACTGATGGCATTTTTCCATTGGAATTTCGAAAAAACCTTGATGATGGCCAAAAATAGGTCGAAACACATTCAAACCACCTTGTATAACACATGGTTTGATTTAAAATAAAGAAAGCTTTCAGAATCTGTGAAAAAATTATGAGAACCGTATTTAAAAAACAAAAGTTGATGATGGTTTCACAAATACGAAACGTCGCATAAAAAAATCGGTATGACCACGTTAAACGTCATGAAAAGTTGCTATGGAAAAATATATTCAGTTTTCTGTATATCTAATAATAACGGACAAAAAAATAAAATAGATATTCCAAAAATCCACTTTTTTCCATACAACTGAAAAACTAAAATTCTCGAATGCTGTTGGTATGAGTCTCCGAATGCGCACTTTTTTCCCCATTTAACCGACTTCGTGACTCCTACCGTTTCCGAGATCCCCATGATGTGCAACCTTATCTTGGACAGGCTGTATACATAATTATTTTATATACGCTACCACAAGGAAATAATAATATTAAAAATTCACTTAAGAATTCTATAATACACATGTAACTCAAAAGCTAACAGTAATTCTTGGATAGAGAAATGAAGAAGAGATTTATGCCGATCATTCATTAAGGTATGCAAGTATGAACTCTTTATGTTATTCTTAAATATCCGAGCTTGGCGGATTTGGTTTTCAAACATGAATATCTCACTCAATAATTTTGATTCCATACTTGATGAAGAAAATTCAAAAGATTAGCCCCTATTGTCTGAACTGTCCAATAGATTATTGTTTGGTTCCTTATAATTGATGTATTTGGAAAACAAATATTAACTTTAATTACCCCATAAATGCGAAAAAAACTCACCTAGACTGTTGGGTACTAGACGAAGCCCCACTATTCAATTGAGCCTGTACTTCTGCTATGACGTTTCTATCATGATTAGGAGTAACGGTTGTGGCAATAGCAGCAGGAAGAAGCCCCCTATTGCACTGCTCCATGAACCTTTGTGCCACAATCGCGTCCTGTAAGCCAGGAAACAAATTCTCGTAGCTTTTGGGATCCGCCAAACTTTGTCCAGCTTTCTCGTTAACAGCGGATAGCTGCACTCTCCACAGCTCGACAATTTCAGATATTCTATCCGGCAAGTAGGATCGTGCGAAAAACGCGGCTTCAGGTAAACGCCCCGTAGTTATAAGAATATCTATACACTTGTTCAAATCTCCAACGAGGAAATAGGAGAGGAAAGACAGATTATGTTTTCCTTCTGCATTGGTGCTTTCACCCAAACTGCGAACAAGATTTTCATCTCCAGAACTGGTCGCCAAAAGCAGGAGCCCACCATAATCCTGGGCTTTTTGCATGCATTCTTTGGCCAATGGCAAATTGTTCGTGGACGCAGCCAGTTCACCGAGTTGACTCCATTTCTGGGGATTGTTGGCTTCTTGAGCTAGTGTTCTAGCTGTATTTAGATCTTCAAGTGCAACAGCCAGCTCAAATCTATGTTCCGAATCTGTACTAACAGCTAGAGCTTGCTGTTTGAATCCTTGTTTTTCCAGGAAATGTGCCACTCTTGTTCGGTGCTCTTTTGGAATTGAAGGCAATACTCGATCAGCCGTTGGGAAGTCTCGTCGCATGACTGCAGTCTGATATTCGAGCACAGATAATAGCAATTGATAGCTGACTACTCCTAACTCTTTATCAACCAAGTATAACCTGTCATCTCTAGGTACATAGCCCAGGACATATAGAGGACGGTCCAGATGTGCAATAGTTACCAATTCACCACCCACAAAGTAGTTGATACGGTTGACTGCGTTTGTGTAAATGAAGCAGTCTCCTACCCAAAGACCTGTTCTTACGGATTCATTTATTTCACCTAGGACATCAAAGGCAGCCTCCACTCCATCTTCAGCAACTTGGTTGTTATCTCTAGCTTTCTGGACTTGGTCAGAGTCATAGGACAATATGAAATAGCTATCTTCGGTAGCAAGGCATACCAACTTGCCACTATCTGACCAGTAGATAGCCCTAGGCTGTATTTCAATGCGCCTTACTAACTCAAGCGTTTCCCAGTCATAGAAAGCTAAGCCAGAAACTGATTTCACACCCAAGAGAAAACCACCATAGATTCCTTCGGCACCAAAGTCGGACTTGAAATTCTTTTTTTCTTTGAAATTCTTGAAGATTCGAATGGTGGATCCGGATTCGCGGATGGCATATTCACTGGAGTCCTGTGCCCATACAAATTCTTGAGCGCTACCAAATGCTTTGTTACGAAGGGCCATAGCCGTGTATATTATGTATTCTCCATCACCACAAACCACTACAAACCGCCCATTGGGGTTGTGTTGGATTGTTTGTGGGTAAATCTCGCATGCTCCCATGTCCTTTACTGTGACTGGCAAACGTTCTCCATCTCTGATTTCAGCTCCTGAAAAAGTAGGACTACTGAAATTTGGAAATGGGTTAAATTCGAGAAAAACCAGCGGAAGACATTGATAGACGTTTTAAATTTCTATCTATCTAGAACTTGAAAACTTTCAAAAGAATTTATTGGTTGAGAACATGGTGAATTAGTTTCAAGTTCTATAAAAATAAATCGGTATGGTATAAATTAATTTTTCAACTATACACAACCAATAGAGTTTATAGGTATGCTCAACTATCAGAGGCATATAATATCCACATTTCAGTAACAGCGTCGAACATGAAAGTTATTGCAAGGGTCTGTAGGGCTCAGAACACGGCGAAAATCAGGGGAAATTAAACATGAGTACTACGACCTTTCAGTTGTACAGGGTTTTCTATTTTCGATGTCCTTAGGAGATATATAGATAGATAGATTACACTATGTGGGCGGACGGATCCTTCAGCATGTAGGCCTCCTAGTTCGGGCCCGTTATGCACCCACCTCTGCTGGGAATTGGTTCAGTCATGAAGGTAGCCAATTTCGCGGGCGAAAGAGACCAGCCTTCTCAACGAAACCCTTCTCACACTCTCTGGTTCCAAAACGATGTTCCCGAGATGTGCTTCCCGTATTGCTGCAACTGCTGGGCATTCCGTGAGGATGTGAGTAGCTGACTCCTCGTCCTCCAGGCACCACCTACATTCAGCATCATCAGTGATACCCATAATGTTGAGGTGCCTGTTTAGATGGCAGTGACCCGTGAGGAGCCCTACCACTATTCTTATTTCTTTTCTGCTCAATGTGAGCAACGTTTTGGTTCTTCTGATAGAAGGGCCTCCGATATGGAGTTTCGATTGTCTCATGCCTGGAGTCTCTCTCCATACCTCCTGGAATTTCGTTTCCAAGCTTTTCATCATGGTTGAGACGCTCCAGGATCTGGAAACTCCTAAGATTGGTTCTGGTCCAATGGCTGAGCTATTTGCTCCTTGTCTAGCCAGGGAGTCGGCCCTTTCATTACCGGGAATTCCCTTGTGTCCTGGGACCCAAAGGAGTTTCACCTTATTGGCTGCGGATAGCCTTTGAAGCTCATCAATACACTCCGACACCAACAGCGAACTGACCCTGTATGATGTGAGGGCCTTGATCGCCGCCTGGCTGTCGGAGCATATCGTGATCAGCTGGCCATGGTAGCCTCTGTTGATGTTTTCTCTAACACAGGCGAGAATGGCAAAAACCTCTGCCTGAAACACTGTAGCAAAGTTCCCCAGGGCGTAACTGAGTTCCGCTTTCGGAGATTGCCCATATACCCCAGCTCCTGCCGATCCCTCCATCCTGGAGCCATCTGTGTACCAAATGATTCCAGTGGTAGGGATCAGGCGGTGCCCGAACTGCTCCCAGTCCTCCCTTTTCGGGATAATTGACTGAGGCCTTTTGCTGAATCTGATGACAGGAGTGAAACTGTCCCCCGGCATCTCTAGAAGGGGGCATTCCTTCACCGTCCGATTCCATAGCCTAGAGTGTCCATACGTTCCCTCGCTCCTCCATTGGTTGGAGCTCCGCAGACGGGCGATGGCTTTGCATGCCTCGTGTTCAATGAAGAGGTACAGGGGTGGCAGACCTATAAGTGTCTCCAGTGCCCTTGTGGGTGCCGTCTTCATTGCACTCGTTATGGCAAGGCAGGCAAGTCGTTGCACTCTGTCTAGTTGAGTTTTTGATTTGCCGGATGCTGTACCTTGCCACCATACGATGGCTCCGTACGTAATCATTGGACGTATGAGAGTCGTGTAGATCCAGTAGATAATCTTGGGACTGAGCCCCCACGTGCTTCCAAACGCTCTTCTGCATGCCCAGAACTCGGCCATGCTTTTCTGAACTTTATGTTCGATATGTTCGTTCCAGTTCAGCTTGGAGTCTAAAATGACCCCAAGGTACTTGACTGAACCTTTGTATTGCAGAGACCTGCCAGAAAGTTGGACGTTTGGGAGGTTCCTTTTTATGCGTCTCCTAGTAAAGAGAACTAGTTCCGCTTTTTCAGGGTTCACGCTCAGCCCGACTGAACGGCACCATACATCCACCCCGTCAAGTGCCCTTTGTATCGTACCTCTCACGAGGCCCGACCCCTGGTCATCTACCAGGATGACTATATCGTCCGCGTAGGCCTGAGTGTAGTACCCCAAATCTTTTATTTTTGATAGGAGACCATCCACTACTAGGCACCATAACAGAGGCGACAGAACTCCCCCCTGTGGGCAGCCCTTCTTTGGCGTGACCTCGCTAGAGCTACTTTTGAGAGTTGCTTTAGCTCCTTAGGAGATATCTCACTTATTTTTAAAGATAGAGATTTGCGGTTTTCGCAAACGTTGGCTACTTTTTTGTGGAACTCACGATACCGCAAACAAAATTTCCATAGCCTGCTTCGTTTTTGAGAAACGGGGCGAAATTGAAAACTTGACATTTTGGGACCCACTTGTATTTCAGCTATCTTTCAACATTAGTATTGGAAAAATAAAAACAGTCTTATACATTTTTTTACATGAAATCCAGTGGCGTAGTCATATTTTCGAAATTTGCTGTTACTATCTAGATATAGCCGAAAGTTATGTTTTTATAAATGGACCACTGTATATTTTTTCATATTTTAAACACTGATACTTTGTGTTTTTCAAAAATATATCACTCATACGATATTTTGAGTATTAGGCTTGTATTAAGATAATTTCCAATTTTTTAATAGATTCTTATTGATGGGTAATATTTTCCATATCACAAATTTTCATATTCCCCTTATATGCTGAATGCTGATAGAGTGTTTCGTCACACACTAGTTGCAATTCCACCAACATTCAACATTTACCAACATTCAGTACTACTTATTGACTACTAGGCTTCGCACGGTTGGTGTACCCATTAAAAAAAAGACAGTCGTTCTCAGCTATGTGCGTATCTACAGTACATACTTTTTGTTATTTGTTTAAATTTTTTGTGCTTACCTCGGCTAACCTATAGCTCCTATTATATACTTGCACCAATTTTCATTCTCTCAGTATCTTCTGCATTTTTTGTGGTTTTATGTATTAAAAATTTCAACCCAATCGGTCAAGTACTTGATTTACCGGCAGCAGCGCCACCTACCGCGTCCAATTGTATTTTTAAATCATCCAGGAAACCACGAAATACCCATAGGAAATTTCAACCCAATCGGTTCAGCCGTTAAGTGATGTGGAAAAGATTAGTACGGAAGGATAATTCTCACTACCCGTTGTCGTATTAATTTTATGGATGAAATCAGTGAATCTTCACGAGGATTGTGACTCCTCAAAATAGAGTGTAGTGGTGCAGTTGCCTGATAGACTGCTGTGCACGGTTTTCCTGTGGTTTCTCAAGCCAATGAGTTCTGGCATTCAGCTGAGACAACGGCCATGCCGATTGATTTGTTCGTTTTTGCTATTGGTGGTTTCGGCTGCCTTTTTCCAAAATAGGAGCCTCCTGTATACAGGGATAAGTCATTCACCTGATCACCTCCATCAGGTAGAAAAGCAGGTCGAGAAGAATGCAATTTTATAGGGCTTTCTGGGAAAGTACTACAAGACCTCCATGCTGCAGGATATCTTCTGCCTCAATCTTTTCAAAGAGACTATGTCATCAGGCCATTGCATTCTTCAAGGTGCCTCCTGTCAGAGTAACCAGTCTCCAGCTCACTGGTCATCACCTTCACCTTCCATTATGGAAGTGGTTGGACAGCCAACCAAATAACAACCCTGATTCCAAATCTGTCACCCTGCATAAATTGATTCATCGGACTTCAAGACATCTCTGCAAGCCATAGCAAGCCACTTGTCAGGATGAATTCTTAAGAATTACAGTCATATTATTTTCTACATATTTCTTTTGTTGACTACTACTACTTTGATATATTCCCCCTAATAAGCTGAATTCAAAGAGAAATTGCTCCCTAAACTTCAATTCATATTGTCACGATCCTGGTCTTCCTGATGGGATAAGGCCACTGGATCATCTTTGAGGGTAGCTCAGATAGGGTAGATCATATCAACTCAGACACTAATAGTTTAAGGGGTATGAGAAGTAGTAAAACCCGTGTTAAAACCACAAATACATTTATTACATCATTGATATAAAAGAGGAATCATCCAAATGCGATACAAAATAATTAAGTGGTACTTACAATATAAATAGGGCCATTTCGGAGAGGGTTGTCTGGTAGGATGCACAAAGACCTAACTAACTCGTTAACGCGACGACTGACTGTGCGAACCCCTAGATTCCACGACCGACGGCAACTACCCGCTAATCAAGTATCCACTATCAGTTCTCAACTATCAACTATCTCTTCAATAATCACAATCTGTATTTATCTGAATTCTCAAGAACTATTATTGTTTAGGTTATTCTCGGTACGTTACTAATGGAGGTTACTCAGTCGTACAGGTTGTTAACGAGTCAATGTCAAAACGTGTTCGAAATGTTTATAAACTTTTCTGTTCAATGAGAAAAGCACGATTTATAATTTTATAGAAATATTGAATTATTAATGACTTTGATTATGATTTTGGAAAAATTACTTAATTGTGACAATATCAACAAATTATTCGTCCTCCATGTGAATATGTGACAGCAAAAATTTATGAATTTTTCCTGCATGATTTTATATTGAACATCTTGATGTGTGACATATTTGAATCAGTGATCCCTAGCAAATTTTGAATTCGATAGCGGAAAGCGAATTTTCAAAAAACAACAAGTAACTACGATGAACTTTATTCAAGAGATGAACAATTGAGAAAAAGCCGGCAAATAATGAATGCAACTGGTTTTATTAAACAAATGTGCTGAGTCGGGTGCATCTCTGATGCTGGTGGAGAGGGTACACGTGGCTTCCCATAACTCCTCCGCCCTTAGAGTGAAATCTGGGGGTTGACAACAGGTTTCCTTGCTAGGGTGCTGTCTGACTGGTCGGCATCACCCTGTATATATTGCGTTCTGGATTGAATGAATCTTCGATAGTA